ATATTTTTAAAATATGCAAATGTCATACATCGACCATTAAGACTAAGTGTATACACTTACTAAAATTTATGTTTTTAATGTTACATGCATACAAGGTGGGTCATCAATGGCAACTACTGTTTTAAATGTAATTCATTATTTATTGACGTTAAGCAGTTTTAAAAATGCATTTTAATTTCTCATTGAATATAGAAATTGTAAAACATATTTTAATAAAATCGATAAGTAACGAAGTTACTTCTGCCGATGGTCTTTATTGATTTACCCTGTATGCGTACGATTTAATGTAGCGAAATTGATACATCACTTTATTATAATTCAATGTTACACTTGTCTGTTATGTAGCGAATGATAAATCCAAGTTAAAATCGTATATTTCAGAATTTGCAGCAAAACCGTAACAATTAGGCATTAGATTCGTACATATATAAAACGTCGTTTTCCTTCTAACATATTTAAGTACTATGTAAAACAATTTCTTTAAATCCGTACAAAGCACGATGTATTTCATTTCCAATTTATATTAAGTTGAATTCCCTCAAGGGGGAATATTAAGAAACATTTGATATTCGATTCATACTTTCAACTTACTGTTTAGATAAAATAATCACTTTTATACATAAAAGTAATTGTGTACATATTGTATTAGTATCTGGAGAATATGTGCCCTAGATATATCGATCTATTATATATACAGTAGTCGAATGTGTTCCACCCTCGTCGGAATTTAATTATTTGTTAGAAAATCTGTTTCGTATCGTTTCACGAGTTTACGTGTAATTAACATACAGGCAGCTGTGCGATTATTGGCAGAGAGAGACTGAACCTTGTAAGGGATAAATGATCCGTTACATTTTCCACTGTTAGAGTATTTTATACATACAAAGCGTACCGCTTGATGTATAGAATAAAGTATATATTTTTCAAGTATTAAAATAATACATATGTATGTATGTATGTATGTATGAACGTTATGTATTGGTTATTGATATTTTACATAAGTAACGCTGTATAAACGAGTATAGTCAATACATCCTACTGGAAAAAAATTGTGGCCTCATGAAATTTATGTCGAAAATTGGCCAAATTTGGAAGATGATTATTCAGCAATAGATGAATTTTTTTTAAATCTCATAGAGAGATTTTTAATTTGATGCAACCCTACGACAGAGAACGCTTGGATCTGAAACCATGTTAAAACTAAAAAGTTAGACTTGGATAATATTTTTTTAACTTGGGAAATTTTCGACACTTTTGTGCTACGATTTTTTTCAGTAAGACAAATAATCGACCTGCGCGTGTATTAAAATAGGAATGTGCGTGGATTATTGTGGCCTTTTTAGAATCGATTTAATCGAGAAGAAAAACGTAAGACCGTCACGACGATCACCAGTTGCTTTCTTATTGGGAAGTTTTGTAAATTTTGACAGAGAAGAATACTCGTACACGAATCGAACGAAGTGTCTGCTATTCCATTTGTTTTTCCCGTTCGGATATTAATAACATTAATATATATAAATGATACATTAGTAATTAATAAATGGAGGATGACACGAAATTACAAATGTATATAATTGTCTGCTGGTATATTAATGTGCGAATACCTCGCGGCATTTGAATGTCTGCATTTGCCGTGGGACATAAAAATGAATTTACAATCAAAATAATTTTAAACTAAGAGGTATTGAGTTGAGGAACTATCAAGCAATACGATATAAGTACTTTAGTACATATCAATATTAATCGTGCATTACATAAGTTATATACAATATTTAGGACTTATATATGTATGCCTTATGATTTTGTCTAAAAGTGGGAAGGCGATTTCGTTCAGATTATATAAATTGGAAAATAATCGTTCCTCCGAGAGGCAAGAAGTTCAGGAGAATTATTGTAAATCGCTTATGGTATATTGTACGTGTACAGATATGTGTGTGAATGATAAAACTATTATATGTAGTAGCTGATCCATCGGATTCTAAACTGGGTATACACATATAATATGTACATTTTTAATTACCAATAGTCGCAGTAATTCTAATTATTATTATTATTAGT